TAGCACAGACATGCTGCAGGAGGCTCTGTCATGGGTGTCAGTAATTAATAGTCCAAAAATAAGTTCATAGGTGGAGGTCTTATATGGGTACATACTTGTACAATGTGTGTAGCACAGCGACCATATAAAATGGGATAGATATATTGAAAAGAATTTGATTCTTATAAGCTGTTGGTAAAATGTTTACCTATTATTGGTGCTAAAGCTAATTTCTTAAGAAGGCTTCTCAATCTTATGTTTATATGCTGGAAACTTCATTTCCTGTTTCTGGAAAGATAGAATATTTACAAAGGGATCCATAGAAAGCAGTGTCATACAGCTTTGTTTTGATGGTGGATGTGTAACCCTTTTTTTACAGGAATATTTATTTTGTGTGGGATGCCTGGTAGTTACAATCATTGGCTATCATTAGTGTCTAATTTCCTGTCTAGGAGATTTGCTGCTTTGTTATAAATAGGCGAAGAGGTGCCTGAGTCTCTGTGACCAATGGTTAGAAGAGCAGCACTCATCCATCCAGCTGTTGAAGACTGTCTTGAGTAAAGTATTGTAACATTCTTGGAGAATTGTTTCTTTGGCTGGGGTAGAATTTATGTATAAGCTGCTTGTAGCAAAGTGCTGTAACTTTTAAAGGAATTTTTTACAAATTCAGCTTTGAAGTGTGGATACCTTTGTGAATTGAAAGTAATTTTTTAAGGTTTTGTTGCTGTTACTACCTTTAATTTCAGAGGCTTTGAGCTGACTGACATGTGCTACCTAAAAACTTGTGCTGCCTCTTTCAACTGAATGAGGTGTGATAGATCTGTCTTCTCTTTGAGACACTGCTGCTGTGGTACAGAAAAATAACCTGCTTTCTGTGTGCCTGAAGATCACGAGGCAAGCGTTAATTTCATAAAAAACTGATTTATCATAGTAGGTTTTTTTACAGTTATTTTGAGTATAAGAGCTGTTTTAGTATATTGGGAAGCTTTTTAGAAAGCACTTCATTACTACTTTTGAAGTCCTTTTTGAAGTTCTGAAGGGTGATCCAGCACTGAAAAAAACCCCACAAAACCCTGCTTGTTTTTCTTAGATTTTCATGTCTAAGTGGCAGTGTTTTGGGGCTGTTTCCTGTCCCTCTTCAAGAAGGAGAGACTATACTGTTTGTTCAAGTTTTAAATCTAACATTTTAGAGAGGTGAACCTACCGCTGGAGTTCCAGCTGTAAACTGACCAAAATCTGACACTGGGGTTCAAGTTCTGAAGTCAGATAAAAGGTAATATTGAGCATAAAAGTGAAGACCAAAAAAAAATAAATAAAAAAAAATAAATTAAACTCTTACTGATCACTATAAATAGGTAGCTATTATGAATTCTTCATTGTCATCTCTCTCTCGAGAGGGGAATTAATCCAGTCTCCAGCTGCCTTTGACTGAAGGTCATGAGTCAGGCTGAATTAGAGGAAAATCTGTAGCAGGATTTTGCAGACTCAGGTTCCTGACTTCAGGTTTCAGGCTCCAGCTTGGAAGGTTTTTAGGGCTCTAGCTGTTCTCTGTAAAATGTCATTTGAAAATTAACAAGCCTTAAAGGTGCAGCATCCCCTTGCACTTAGAAGTGTCCCAGTATGACCATGTTTTTAACCACTGAAGTGCTCAATAGTGGGACAGTGGAGGCTAATAGCTGAACCTTGGATAATGGTAGCAGAGAGTTAAAGGGACCTCTCCCTGCTGGCTGTGAACTCCATTTGTGTAGTGCAAAGGAAACCTGCAGCGGTTGGTTTTATTCACTGTAACTCCTTAGCTGAGCTTTTATAATCCTATACTGTTAATTGAGGTTTTTAGCTGCCTTGAACAGAACCTTCCAGATTCAAGGGAAAAAAAAAACCCACAACAAAACATGTAGCTGAACTAACTCCTGTTGGATTTCTTTTTGGCTGAAACTGAAAATGATACAAGATACTAAAGCAGCAGTCAGCTGTGACTTACATTTTGTAGAGCTTGCAGATGGCTGCCTTAAGTACCCTAAATTATTAAAACCAAATATGTAAAATAATGCATTTACTGACAGCTTAATGCCTTTTTTCCTTTTTTTGCTTCTTAATTTAGGCTGTAGAAATTCCTCAGTTTCAGTTTGGTTTTCTCCCATACAAGTAAAATGTGGATGTTGGGAATTTGAGCATTTACAGAAGGTTACAGTATTGGGGGAACACGTAGCCTGAAGGAACAAAGGCTTGTGTTTCTTTCTCTTTGCATTAAATAACCATGTCTTTAAAATTAAATGGGATGCTTAAGTAGTTTACCTTATGCAAAATTTACTGACACACCAATTTTTAATGTGATTTTTTTTTTTTTTTTTCTTTTGGGATGTGAAGTGTTTCTGATTCTTTTTTTTTTTTAAAAAGGATGATGGGAGAGGAGTCAGAATAATTTAGAAGTTCTTTATCATGATCCTATCTGTGACATGGTTTAGGACAGAAGGGTCAGGATGGATTCCAACTGAAGCCTTGTGCTTAGAATAGCTCTATCTTCATTTCCATGGTAAAGGACCTTGCATGGTTTTATCTGTTCTTAAACCCTGGCTGGGAATTTAAGCCCATTGGGGCAAGAAGAATATTGATTGAAAGTTTGAGCATGCCATGACTTGTTTAGACAGAGGGACAAGAAATTGAAAGTGAGCATGGGCAAAATAAGCAATATTCTGACCTTGCAGGAGTAGAAGGTAGATACAGGTGAGCAAAGAGGCAGAATTCAGAGCTGGTAATTGCAACTGAGGCAAAGAAATACCTGATCTGAAAAACGCTTAAGGGGTGGATCATTGTGTAGCTCACAGGTTGTTGAGACTCAAGATTGTGAGCAGAACTTGTGCTAGTGGTGATTCAGCTGTTCCTCAGCTGTCTTGCTAAACTCTCATATTTTGCACTTCTTCCCTCCCATCCCCAAAATATACAGTTGCAAAATATTTTTAGACCTTGTTTCTTAGGGTTTGTTAGAGATGAATATGGAAATGTTGATGTGTAGTTGAAAGTGTTGGTAATGTGAGCTGCCGTTCAGAATAGATAGGAACAAGTTGGTATGAGAACCTGTGTGTGGCTTTGTACTGGTCACCAGGCCTTTTAAGAAGAAGTAATGAAACCTAATTTATTTGATGGACTCCAGTCATTCCTGGTGTCTTTACCAGCAAAGGTGCTTGTTACTGAGAGGATGTGCCCTATGGTTTAGCAGGGAAGTACTCAAGTTGTGGTGTGCAAGCTTGATGTTTCACCCATGACTTTTTGTGATGAGTTCAGGTGGGGGCTGAACATGGATGGGATGAAGACAACTGTGAGTGCTGACTTGCAGAGGGACAACTGTCTGTGATAGTCTTCTGGCTGCTCCTGGAAATGTGGAGGCTGTTTAGGTTCTTAGCTGAATTACTCTGAATTTCAAGGGTTAGGAAAACATTTGATCTTTCTGTTTTCATTTGTATCTGATGTTAAATACAACAAATGCAGAAATTGCTATTATTTGCAATTTGGGGGGTGTGGGGGCAATTTTAATGGTAACTGTAAATAAGCTGTTACTGTCAGGACAGAAATGCATCTCAGAACTGGCTCATTCCCATGCTCTAATCCTTTAGGAAGGAGTTCACACAGTTGTGTGGTATTTGTACAGTGGTTGTGGGGGGTGTGACTTTGAAGTCCCTAGAAATGAGAACAGCAGTTAGTTACTGCAAATGATCTTGTTGTCCATGCTGTAGATAATCTTTCTTGAGACTTCATTGCATATTTAGAGGGCAAGAACACTGGGAACTAATTAGTGAGGTTGGCCTTAAATAATCCTTTCAGAGCAGGCAATTTCTCTCCTCTGGAGAGGTGACATGGTTATTTTAAGCCATTGATAAAGCTCAGCTGCTTCCAACACTGCAGAGAACCTATGGGTGAAGCTAGCAGGTGTTTTGGATTCAGAATTTCTCTGATGAACCTGGTGTGCAGAAGAGGTGAGTAGCTCTAGCTACTCCTGTCTTGTTGCCCAGCTAGTAATTACATCTGCACACAGTGGGGAACAGCTGTGGAAGAAACCAGATTAGTCTATATCTGCTTTTGCTTGTTGACCAGAAAAAGAAAAAAGAGTATGTTTGGTAAATTTAATCTGGGCTTTTTAAACAAATGTTGCAGGTATGCCTATCTTACCTAACAATAAACTTTTAATTAAGTACATGAACTGATGTTATTAATTGTGTTATTCTAGCTGTGTTGCTGTCCTGACTAGCAGGCACTTGCTGTTTCATTGCACCTTGGGCTTGAACTGTCGCTTCATTTGTGAGATTGAGCTACTTGTCCTAGGGGCTAATGTGATGGTCAGGAAAAGTTATAAATTCTTACCATGGCTTGATACTCAGTATCAGTTGTAAAGTGTGTTCAGAAATATGTCACGATAACTGGTAGCTGTTGCTGACCAGTGAGGTTGGTCTGAAACATTCTGTGCAAAGGCTTTCCAGCCCTGCCTTCAAGTGCCAGTCTCTGTAATTGCTATATTCAGATAACATATGCATAGTTGAAAACAGTAATTTTGGTCAAAATGAGCATGCTTTACATTTCTCCCTAGTTTGCCTCAAATCTTTGGTAAGTTAGGCCTGGTTGTTTGGGGTTTTTTTGCTAGAAGAAATTACAAGTCACGAAGTTCCTTGTTTTTTTCAGGGAGTTGGGTTTTCTGCTGAAAGCTTCTTAAAGAATGCAAAGCCTGAATGCATTCCATTCTCAAGTGATTGAGAATGTCATTGGTATGGTCAGGCTGTAAATCCTGCAGATGGGGAATGGCTTGACCTTTAAAAAAACTTATTCTTTAAAAAGGGTCTGCAAGCTCCAGACAAGCCTCCAGTTCTATGAATTTTGCCTAGACCACATTCTAAAGCAGATAGACCTGAAGGGTCTTTTTTGGTTTTCAGCTTTGTATATTTCTGTAATGCTTTGCTCATTTGTTTTCACAGGGCAGTTTCCTCACACGTTTTTCCAGCTACGATCTTAACTGGGACTGAACACGTGGGTTATCTGATCTTCTGTGGTTTTTAGAAGCAGGTACGTTGGCAGGGAAATCTCTGATATTTTGTACTGGTTGGGAATGGGGAGGTGATGACTTCATCCATGTGCCAGAAGGAGTTACAGAGCTAGGGAAATTCTACTTAAGCAGCATTTCATTATGGATGGCATATTCATGTAGCTTGCTTGAGAAAACAAAGCTGACAAGTACTTTGATAAGATTTTTCAGTCCTTCACTTGCAAAGGTGTATTGTGCTGTCTTCTGGGCATAGAAGAGCTTTGTAAGTGCTTGTGGAAATTCAGTGATGCAATGTAGTATTGTAACCTGAAACCAGGTCTTATAAAAGCTTTATGTAACAGAAACTGAGATATGTTGAAGTTTTTCATGCTCGGGTCTCAGTACTGTCTGCAGACTTTTGTGTTTCTTTGATATCATCAAGTAGGAAAAGCTGTAGTGGCTGGGGCTATCCCTCCAAATGATTGTACAGTACATGAAGAGCAAAGTGCTGTTGCTGTAATATTAATTTAACCTCTTTATACCTATATTATGATAGCTTTTGAACTACATTGAGTGCTTTGTCCTTCCTGTTGCCTGCTGAAGCTCCTGTTGCCTGGCTGAATGAGCAGGCTTTAGTATTTTTATCCTTCCTGTTAAATAAGTAACTTCATGATAAATCCATTTTGTCTGAAGTTTACTTCAGAAGAACCAGGTTTTGGTAAGAATTCCTGTTGCCCCTTTTTAAAGTTCTAAAAATTAATAGGCAACTGGGAGGCTATTATGTTGGAAAACAATGAGTAATGACGTGTAGGCTACAAATCTCTTACAACATCTGCTGTGTAGAGGAATGCTGAAATGTGGTCTCCCCAGTGGCATGGGGGCAGCCATGGCATTTGCTTGGTGCTTTTGTTTATGGTGCCACCTATTGATAGATATCTCTTCTAATTGGTTCCATTTTTAAATGGTAGTTGTGTTACCACATTTCAGGTTTTTGCTGTTGTGCTTTTTCATTTGTAAGTGGATTTATTTGGGTACTGGCACAGCACCTTCCCTCTTCAGGTAACAATATTCAAAGAAGAAAAGAAAGAAAGAAAAGATGTATTAGTATAATGTTAAGAACCAGCCACAACTTTTTAGATTTACTTGATATCTTGATAAACATGTATTGTTTTATCAGTCTCTGGATGTGCATAACTGAATTGTCTTACTATTGGCAGCACTTGTTAGCACTCAGTAAATTGCTCTGTAGAGTATAAGCTGGGCAACATAATCCAATCTACTTATTTGAATTGACACTACACAAATAGATGGGATCATTTTATCTCCCCTTCAGAAAGCAGTTTGCTGGTTATAGAACAAAAATATTATCACTTTGCACAGTGACAGGCTGCAAGTCTGCTAGGAAGCAGAACCATCTACAGCAAATCAGCATAATGCTAGTCTTCCCACTGGAAACTCACTCCAGTGGGACTGGGGGTGTAGCTTTCTCCACTTTTCACTACTGTTATCTGCATCCTAAGTAATGTGGGTGGTAAAGCCCATCCCAGCAGCTGCCACTTGAGTTAGCATTGCTTCTGACTCACTCAGGAGAGCCTATGTGTAATTTTAAACTTTCCACACCCAGATTACTTTCCCTTAAAAGTAATAAAGAAAATGAAGTGAGGGGAGAGGTTGGGAATGACAACAGGAAAACACTACATGGAAACCATTGTGTCTGAACCTGCTGTGATACAGCCTTCACCAAGCACCCCTCATGCAGTGTATTCCTTTGGTTACCAGGGTTCAGGAAAGGTGATTTATAGCTAACTTTAGAACCAGACCCAGTTCTGGAAATGAAAACTTAGTTGGAGAACTTGTTGTGGAGCCACTTTTCTGAGCTGTGCATAGTGGGAGAGTGGCTGGTTTACAGATCCATCCACAGATTTCCTTAGCAGGGACTACATTTCTCCAACACAAAGTGCTTTTTAGAGCTTAGTTTGGTTTGTTCTGCTGCTGTACTAGTGTATTATTTGAACCACCATTATTTTCTGTATTTGAAGGTAAGGTTTTTACTACTGTTGACTTAATAAACATGCTCCAAGATAATTTTAACAGCATTTGAAGAGTATGCCTGAACATTTTCTTTGCTCTGGTTAACACCCTATGATGGAACTTAATTACCAGCTGCTCAAGTCAACAAAGTGTAGTAACACAAACATTATAGAATGTTGATAGCATAGACTGTTTATTCTGTAATATAACAATTTTTTATTAAAACAGAAAAGCAAAACTTCCACTGTTACATTGTATGAGAAATGTTGACAAACTCTCCTTTCTCTCCGAAATAATTGTATACATTTTATTAACTTTTACAAAAGGACTGTGGCTGTTTAATGTGAGAGAAAAAGAAAAAAGAGAGGAGAAAGATTTAAGAGTTGAGATTTAATCCCATTTTTGTTTTGCCATCACAAACTTGGTGGCTCTGTGTTCTGCGTCCTGTTTTCATACTGATTGTGCTTATTTATGGGAAAAAAACAAACCCTCAGATGGCTCTGTCAGGGTGACTCTTTAATCTAGTTGTTAGAGTTCTCTTTTTCTGCTGATGCAGTGATGTTAGGACAGATAATGAGCTGTAGGGGTGTGAACATCAGCCTCTTCGAATGTTTCAGTTGTGTGTGTGAGGCCCAATTTAGCTGTTCAAATTCTTAAGGATTTCTCTGATGAAGAAAGTGATTCCTTAGTCTCCCAGGCTATTAAGTGGTCTGGACTGGTGAAAAATAGGTAGTTTGGAAATTAAACTTCTCCTATTATTCCTATGACCTATTTTAGTTTGTCTCTTTTTCTGATCCTGTATCTTCAGGCAATCCAGGAGCTGGCAGGAGGGGAATGAACCGTGAGGGCGTCCCCGGAAAGAGTCCGGAGGAGATGTATATTCAGCAGAAAGTGAGAGTCCTACTCATGCTGAGGAAGATGGGATCAAATGTAAGATGTATTGTCATAGCCCATATTTTGTGGCTTTCCAGACATGATTGTGTAGTAAGCGAGATCTCAAGGACATGGGCAGGTGATAGTCTGATTTTATCACTGAAATGTTTCAGCCGTCACTGATTTAACAATTATCTACAGTTAAACACAATTGATTTTGGCTAAAATATTGTGATGCCTGAAATTAAATTGATCAGTTGATCTATATACAGTAAAGTTTTTAATTATTAGAAAACCAGTATAATGAAGCAGCTGTTTTAAGGTGACTCTGAATCTCTCCACAAATGCATGATGTACTAGTTGCTGCAATGTCCTTGCTGATGGTATCATTTGCACAAGTAACAGATGAAACTGTTGGAGAATAAAATAGAGGCAACTGTGGTGTTCCTTATTGGGAAGTCAGAGATAATATCTTCAGTCTTCCTTCCTTTTCCTTTTGGCTGACTGGCTCTGTGTGTGTTTCCAGCTGACTGCCAGTGAAGAGGAGTTCTTGCGCACATACGCAGGTGTAGTGAATAGCCAACTTAGCCAGCTTCCTCAACACTCCATTGATCAGGGTGAGTACTGGGTTTGTTTGCCTTGTGGTTATTTAATCTGTGAGAGCAGTCTTGGAAAATATCAAACTTAGATTCCTGTATTTCTGTGATGAAGTGCCACCTACTTAAACCCATCCTGCAGTCTGGGATATGCAAGTCATTGCCTGCTATATATAATCTTTGGAAGAGACCTGGTTACTGGTCAAGAGGTGGTTTTATTTTAACAGGTAAAGTCAGTCTTGGATATTCCTAAGATTCATTAGGAGGAAAAGCATTGTTAAACATCATATTCTCTGTGATAACTCAAAACATTGATATCCAAAATTCTATAAATTGAATGCATGCATATACCTTCCTATTCCATGTAATACATGAAATAGAAATAAATTTTAACCTGGCTGAGTTTTCCTATAGGTGTAGTTAAATTCAGGTATTAATAGGTTCCTCTAGTTCTGGGTGTGTCTCACTGTGTTCTCAATGAATCCTCTGCATAAGACAACTACCATGTAAATTTTTATCTTTAAACTGGATGTATGTGCTTAAAAAGGAACAAGACTGGGGGTGGCAAGCACTTTCTTTTTATGCTTCAAACTGGGAGTTTTGTAACAAAATAAAATGTGAAGTAGATACAGATTTCTAAGGCACTAAAGTAATTTATTATGTGACTCTAGTTGCTTAACAGCACTTTTCTCACAAACTGAAATGGAATAATCTAACAACATGTTTTCTTTTTCATGTTTCCATGCATGTGGAAGTCTAGTGTTACCATTTCAGCAGAGGAAGAGGGGGAGTTTAGCAATAGGAGGAATTTGTTTCCTTTTGCATTTCTGTAACTTCTATGATGTAATGAATTCCTGGACAGGGGTAGTAGACATGAAGTAAGTTTACAAATCTGCTTTGGTTTGTTTACAGTCCCATTAAGGGGATGAAGTATGTGCTGCTTTTGTGAATCCTTTACAAGTCTTGGTAAACAATTGTGTGGCACTACTCTGAATCTACTAATCTCTTCTGAACCCGAATGTTTCTTTCTGAATTTTTTTTCCTACCCTTCATAGGCCTCATGCCAGATCACACTCATAATGTAGGATTTGGTATTGAAGGAGAATTGTAAGACTTGTATGCCAGAAAGAACTGAGTGGAGCAGAGGTTTAATAGAGATCTAAAACATTTTGAAAACCATTAGAAACACAACTTGCACAAACTTGCTCTTCAATTTTAAGCCTGTGTTCATTCCTCACATAGCTGGGGGATTGATGGACACAGATATACTTGTATATTTTGGCTCAGAATTCTTAAACTTTTCTGCCAGTCTAAAGTGAAAATTTGCCAGTTTCTTGTAAAAACTGAGGTAGACATTAAGAAACACTGTATTAGTTGCAGATTACTTTTTTCAGCATTATGTCTGAAGTAGATACATTTCTCACAAAGAAAATACATGCTGGATTACCTGCATTTCAGCAAAGAGAGGATAATAAAAACAAGAGTCCAGCCAGAGGACACAGACACTTGGTACTGCTCTGCTTCTGCACAGCTTGGTCTGACTTTCTTGTCTAAACTGTCTGGTTTTATTATCTGTAAAATTGTATTTTTTCACTTTATAGAGGGCTCTGGAGAACCAAAGAACTTCTTTTTTACATTTGCTTTTAAATATAATCAAAGGAGACCAGTAGATACTTGGTCTGATTCTAGACTCATCATGCAATACAGGAAGTGTGAGAGTTCATGCATTGTTCAGAAAGTTGTCTTTGTCCCATTTTTGGACAGATGCTGACTTATTTCTTTGTCATCATTTTCTTAAAGTCCTTGAAGATTCTTAAAACATTGTCCAGAGGGAAGTGAAATCCTTTCTGTTGACACTTGCTTTGATGTAATCCAAGACACTGCTGTCTTTCTCATTCCACAATCTACCTTCAATCCTCCCAAATGATGATTAGGCTGGTGGTCTGACCATTGAGGGTTTTTCTTGGTAGGGGAAAAAAAAGAACAAAGAAGGAAAATAGTTAACCATTTAGAGAAGTGGGCAAGGATGTTGGTTCTTTTAATATTTGGATATGCCATCTCTCCAAATTCAGTAGTGAGTGAGGAACACAATGAGGGAACCTAGCCCAGTGCTTTTCTAGTGAAGAAAGATGAAGCTGCTGCTGTATAGACATAAACAGAATTTATAGCTCAGGAAATGTCTCCAGATTTCTAACAGTCAGTTATGATACTGCTGCTCAGTGCTCCAGACGTGGTGGCTCTGTCAGCAGCAGTCACTGCCTCTGTCGGAACCTTTGACTAAAAAAAGGAAGAGTCAATTCTGGAAGTATTGGAAATAGAGAATCCCAAGGGCATGGGTGTCCGGTTTGCCTTCGGGAGGAGGTTCCATCCCCACTAGGTGGCATTATTTTGCGCTAAAAAACCCCGTCCCCAGTCCACACGCTGAGGTACTTAAATGTTTTGTGTTCTTCAAGATCGTTTAAAGAAATTTTCTTCCCTACTTTTCTGCTGTTTTCATTTAATCTCCTCTGGAGGATTTTTTTTTTTTGCCTTTATGCAACTTGCCTTACACAATAACTAAAAGGTATGTTACTTAATGAGTAACTTACAAGGAGTTAGTATGCTAGTGGATTACTGGTTTCCACAGTCTTTTCTTCCAGCAGTAGGACAGATTGCTCTCAGCCTAACTTGTCCCAGACTTATCTATAGAGTAATTTTCCTCCAGCAGGCATACAAAAGGCAAAGCTGATTTCATACCCCCATTTTGTTCCAAAAAAGGGAGTGACATTCTTGGCCTTAGAATTCTAAAAGCTTTGTTAGAGACCTGCAGTTTTTTGTGTTACTTAAAAATGCTGCAGTCTGGCTCCAGAATTAAAGGAAGGTCATTTTGTTTCATTGATTTTTATTTTTTTTTTAAGAAGGGCATAGAGGATGAATAGTCTAGAATTTTTTAAGTATATCACAGTCTCTGCTACAATTTTTATGCCTCTCTTTGTTGTGCATCCATAGAAGACTGTCTTAGAACAGCTGGCTGGTGGCTTCAGCAGTCCTACCTCAGGTAATTGCTGAGGTTATTGCTGCTCCCTACTATGGCTTCTGAGGAGGACCTGTCAGGCTCTTTGTTGAGTCTATTTGTTTGACCACAGGGAGTCACTGCAACCTCTGCATCCAATATGTGTTTACAGCAATGAGACAGTACATTGAAGAAAGTGTTTTACACTTTTCTCTGCTGAATTCTGGTGCTTGTGCCCTGAATCTTCAGTGAGTCACTATTAATGCCAATATCTCTGACATTTAAAGTTTCTCCATGATACTCTGCTTATTGTCTTGGGGGTCAGCAATAGAAGTTAATTGCTAATTTTGATCAAGAAGCATCTTGCAATACCTCTGTTTTTTTAAGCAAGCCTGAAGTCTAAGTCTCCCCTTCAGTTTGTGCTTCTTTTTATAGGAAGAGGAGAAATTAAATTTTGAATCTTTATCTGCCATCTTGCTTTCAAAAGGAATTTATCAGGTTTTTTACTTTAATGTTGTTGATACCTATATGGAAGTGCAAAATATAAGGGCAATTTTCTTTACTCAAGGAGCTTTTTAGCTGATATCCATGGGTTGTTTGTTTTGTTGTTCTTATGGCTCCAAGAATAACTGAGGAACCCAAAGGCATCTGTTCAGCCAGTGTATATGCCAGAGTGGATGTAGTCACAAGCTGGTTTAGATAATTAACATATTGGGTGCCTTCCCTGCATTGCAGCAAGAGCCAATGCAGCTCAGGATCATTAGGTTTCTTGAGCTTGAAATGATGAAATTAAGGCTTTCCTACTTATTTTTAATACAAGCAAAATACCTCTTAGGACGTTACGTGCACAGAAGCATTTCCTGCATAAAAATCCTCTTTGCTGCTTCTCAGTTACATGTGCAAATGCTGGGCTAGCACTTGACTTGCTTAAGTAGCTGTTCTGGCAAGTCTGCAAACGGGAGCCACGCAGCTAGTGAGCATGATATGTGAATTATACTAAGACCTTGGTGATTACAGCTCTGGTGTTCCTATAGCAACAAGAATGTCATGCTGGTTGTTGAAGGAAGCTGGTCCCTTGGGGAGGGCAAAGCTGAGATGCAAGCACATGCCTTGCCTGGGTTAGATCTGTTCCCTGGATGGCACATTAAAAGCAAGCCAGGCTGCGCGTGGAGTTATGAGGGGTACCAGGCCCATGGAGTATTGGATAGAGGTGGAGAAATAGAGATAGAGCTCCTCAGTGTGGTTTTATTCTCCTGAACAGTTCTTGCTTTAATGTGCTGCTCCTCTCAGCAGTTCATGTTGTATTTTTAGAATGCCAGACTAGGACTCTAATACTGGGAATTTGAGAGAAAAGTTAATGTTTAGGAGGTAGTTGCTGGAAGGCAATTGAAGAAATGTCTGTAGATGAAGATCTCGAGGGAAGTACAGAGTATTTTTTTTAATTAGGCAGCCTTTAGAAATTCATGACAGGCTTAACCTTCTGATCTCTAAAGGCTTTTGGGCTTGCTTAATTTTGCAGGTGACTTCAAACAAATTAGGTGTATGTATCTATTAATAATTCAAAGAACTCTTGGAAAAAGCAGACCTCAGATGTGTCAGCATCTTGGTGTTAAGGTGGTGTGGTTTTGATTCAACTGGCTTGATGTCACAGTAGCTGAGTACTTGCTGTGGAAAGTGTTAGCTTCAGATATCTTGGTGAAATTTTCTGAAACAGGTGAGTTGATCAGCAGTTGCTGAGCTCAGGGGCTTTCTCTACTGTCTTTACTGCTGTGTGTTAAAGTATTTTGACCTTCAGATCATGTTGTCTTCCTATGTCCAGGTGGTGTAAGAGAACTACTAAAATCAGATCCAAACAACTGCAATTAGAACATAATTGCAGCAGTATTTTTTTGAAAGTTAGCAGAGTAAGACTGTCACTGTTGCTTTTTAGGATAGGACATAGGCCTACCAGTTAATTTTTTATTTCTAAGAAGGATGAGGGTGAGAATGTTTAAGGCAGAATAAGTGGGAGAAGTATTTGCATGTCTGA